TTAAAAAAAAATCTGTATAACAAAACTGCTTTTAGCATATTGTTATATTTTCTTTTATTTTTTATTGTTATATTTTCTTGCATAATCTCTTATCTGTATGTATTTTTTTACATAGTCAACATCCCAGTCTATATTATAAGTGTCTGTCTGGCCTTTCGAGTATATGTGCCACCGAAGCAAACACTCTGTCTGGCCTTTTCATCTAACATTATCATCAGAAACATTTCTCCATAGTACAGATTTTATAATGATATGTTTAAAAGTTTGCATAATATTCCAGAGTGGTATCATATAATTTACATAATAATTTAAACACTTGGTAGTTTCCAATTTTTTCAATAGAAAATAAAATGATACTATGATGTACAGGATCATCCATGTTTATTTTCCCCATAGCTAAATTCCAAGTATTTGGATAATCGCATATTCAAAGTATACAATATTTTTGTCACATATACATTCATCAAACTAATACTGCAATCAAGATAATGAACATGTCTAACATCCCCCCAAGTGTTCTTAGACCCCCTTGTAACACATTCTTTCCCGTCACTGATCTGCTGTCATCATGTATGGTTTGGGTTTTTACTACTTCACATAGTGAAATCATAAACTTTTAGGTCTGAATGTTTTACTCACCATAATTACTTTGAGACATCCATTTTGTTGCACATTTGCTTTTTTGTTGCTAAGTAGTGATCCATTTTATGTACAATCCTGTTGTATAGTACACCTAACGATGAACAATTATGTTGTTTCCCTTTTTTTGGCTATTAGGATTAAAGCTATAATGGTATATGTGTGTCTTTATGTGGGAACATGCTTTCATTTCTCTTGAGTATATATGTAGGAGAGGAATGCTAGGTCATATGGCAGATGTTATGTTTAACTTTTAAAGAAAATGCTAAATTGTCCTCCAAAGTTGTTTTATATTCTCATTAGTAACATTTGAGAATTCCAGTTGCTGCACATCCTCACCAATACTTGTTATGGTCAGTCTTTTTAGTTTTATACATTCTTGGGCATTGAATGGTATCTCGTCACGGCTTTTAATTTGTATTTCTCTAATGATACATGATGCTGAGAATCTCTTCAGGTGTTTATTTGCCGTACAGGTATCTTCTTTGGTGAAGTGTTTGTTAAATCTTTTGTCTATTTTTAAGTTGGAAAATTTACTTACATATTTTAGATGCAAAGCTTCTGTGGAATTTAGATTTTGATAATACTCTCTCCCAAACTATGGTTTGCTTTTTCATTTTTTTTTTTT